AAAAAAAAAAAAAAAAAAAAAACGATAGAACATAAAAGAATTAACCAAAAGAAAAATGTTTACACCATTTTTTGAATTTGTGATTTTATTTTTATATTTATTTTTTATACAAAAAAAATGACTCAAATACACACACAAAAACAGCAACATATTTTTTTCCAAGGAATGAGCACGGCTTAACACATAGAACTGCAAGAAGCAAGAAAAATGTGACAACCAAATAAAATAAAAGGGACTAGGAAGAACCAGGCACACTTTCTCATTACGGACGAACCAAAATAAATGTGAAATATATCACCACATTAATAAAAAAAGTTATAATTATGAATTTCACAATCATATGCACGTCAATCTCATAGTCACCCAAGTTATTTGAACTCGCGAACTCACTCCACAGAGAGCACTACTCGTTCGAAGACACAGTAGATAGTTTCATAATTCATACATCGCGCAAAAAAACAAGATCAACGCATTTACATTCACCAGGTATGTATTTTCTTAATTATGCCTAAAAAATTAAAGAATAATAAATGTGAACGGTATAATCAAAGTTAGCACGAAAGAAACAATGAAAGAAACAATGACTCATTTAACACTTTTACATAGATCGAAAAATCACAATCCATCTTCGTAGCGCACATAATCTTCTTTTCTTTTCTTTTTTACACAAAGAAATAATGATAGCTTGCACACTAAACTAAAAGTAGTCTCTTTCGAAGAAATAACGACTATGGAATATTTCACTCGGAGCCATTTCAGTCAAAAAAAACATGAAATTATGTAGTTGTTTAATTTTATGAAACCGTGTTGAATCTTGTATTAATTGCTACATTTTAACTAAATAATAATTTAGGTACTCAGACATTAAAAGCTGTTTTATTGTAAAATAGGTACTGTATACATTACAAAGTGATGCTATTGGCTATGAATTAAAATAAACTTAGGGACATTTTTTAAAATAGTAAAAAATATTTTATGGGAAATGGGCGGAGTAATCACCCGACTTGCCCACTAACTAATTTAAATTTAAATGCAAAGTAAGGGGAATCTTAAGTCATATAGTCAACACTTAAAATACAACAAACTGATATAATTAATTAATAAGAGAATTAAATAGATCATCAATTTTATCTTCACGAGTGTGGCACATTAGATGTTCTTCTCAACAATACAAAACTTCAAAAAACAAAGGGTGAAATGGACAATTGACACTGACGCCTTTGTTGTGAAGCTAGAAATAGAAAAGGCAAGAAATTAATTAATCCATCACCAGAAAATATAAAAAGGGTGAGATCTAAAAAAACAAAAAAAACCAACAGGGTTGGCTCAATTGGTAAGTAACTTGGCATCGCATAAGCAAAATCTCGTGTTCGAGTCTTTGTGAATGTAGAAAACCCTTGTTGTGAGACTCACCCACCATTGACAAGTGTGCAACCCGGGTCGACCAACGAATAGTCGAGGCAAAGCTACGGATACCGTGGCTGGCTACCACAAAAAAAAAAAGAATCATAAAATAGTTTTGTGCCCTCAATTACCCCTGTCATGAAAAGAAATTCCATTGAAAGAAACCCTACCAAACTCTAACCAAACCGCGCCCTTAGCACTAAAACGGTCATTAAGCCCCTCTTCAATCACCACCACCCCGCTCAGCACCCTATCCGACGTCGTTTCGAACCCCGCCATCCCGTCTCCACAAATTACATCCCTACCCTCCTCGCACCATTTCCGTTCCCCCTCCAGCCGCCGCCGGCGCCGCCTCTTCCGGCCGCCGCCGATGCACCTTCTCGCCACCGCCCACGGCAGCTTGACGAACGCCAGCGCCAGGATGTTAACCACCGCGCAGGGGCAGCAGCACACCGCCACGCAGTCGGCGATCACGCCCGCCGTGCACGACTGGAACGATTTCCCGGTGCACCCCACCGCCGGATCTCCGGCATCCTCCTCCTCCACCACGCCACCCCTCCGAAATCGGCGGCATTGATTCCCCGCCGTGCTGGAAGACGACGACGACGACGTGGACGCCGGAGATCGCCGCTGACTGTCGTCCATCCGATTCGACGATTTCTTCAACTAAAAAGTGGTGCAAAATCCAGCGACAGATGAATCACACATTTGATTGTGTGGGTGTGTGTGTGGATTAACCTCTTTCTCTTGAAAACAAATCTGTCTATATGGAAATCAAAGCGTAAATCAGGAAAAGTTTAGAGAAAAAGAGGGAAAATAGAGGTAAAGCATAGTTCGCATATTTTCAGTTGTGGTCTACATCAGTTAAATATGTGTGTGTACATATATATATATGTACAGTATGATGTATACATATATGAAAGCTGGTGAAAAAAAAAAAAGTAAAAATCACGGGGTGGAATTGGAAAGCAGTGAGAAATGAGAGAGAGATTGATTAATCTTTCTGATTCCAAAGAGGTACAGAGAACCATGTAATTAGTACTGCCAGAGGCGAAATATTTACTGTATATAGGAAATCGAGAGGGAGGACTAGCACGCGTTCTTAAACGCGTGGATATCACATCATATTACAAATACAATTTTATGACAAGTTTTTTCCACTAAAAATGGAGTATTAAATTTCAATTTGATGAGAAGTTTTTTTCCACTAAAAATGTATTAAAATTTTCACATTGGTTCGTTTGATAACTTAATTTCTTTCACTTCAAACAGTGTAATGGTATTGTGCGATAAATATGAGATAGTTTTGCAATATGATATGAGATAGTTATACGGTCTATTGGTATAACCATTCGTACTGTTTTTATAAGAAAAAAAACTAAAGTGTTAAGATATTATGCGATGAATATGCGACAATGATATAACATTCGTATTTTTAGGATTAAAATGTTAAATGATCAGTGGACGATGTTGTGAAAAAACTTAATATTGTTATTACCTATTCTTTTTACATCACATCGTCATATTATTTTGATTTGGCCCTTGCAAAATGTACAGTTTTTGTTCGAACGGAGTTGTCCAATAAAGTAGTTCGGTTCAACTTGTGAAAGCTTGTGCTCAAATCGTTATATGTTTAAACAAGTCAGACTCAAACAATTAATCAAGTTTGTCAATTAAATAAGTCAAGTCGAACATTCTTGTGATCAACTCGGTTAGAATTTTGGGTTTCGGACTAAATTTTAAGATTTATTTAAATGAGTCGAACTGACTTTGTACGAGCAAAACTCGAGCTCATATTTGTATTTGTTTATTAAACGGGCTGAGCCACACCATCTCGTTTATTAAATTTGCACTTGTTTGAAATATGGATTACTTGACTCGGATAATCTAGCTACACACATGTATGAAGAAGTTAAAGTACGAAAACGATTTTACTCAAGAACGCTTGGATGAGATGGCTTGGGTCTCTTCCAGCTTAACCAGTGGTCTCGTGTTCGAGCCCTGGGAATGCAGCAATGTTAAAAACTCTTGAGGGAGAGCTTTGTCGCCCTTGTGGTCCTACCCGACTCGATTCTGGATTAGTCGGTTCCCCTGTGGATTCGGAAACCGGAAGATCCCTGTACCAAAAAGAAAAAGTATGAAAACGATTTTTACTATTTAATATAAATTAAATGAATCATAGAATAAATAATATAAAAATGTGATTGTTACATTTGAAAGAATATCAATATCAATTATTATACTTTCAAACATGTTTTACATGGTGATGACTCTACTTTAACAAA